AATTAAAAAGATAAATCGAGTGTCTCCTTGAAATTTGTCGACGATTAACTTCCTGTTATTTTGAAATCACCAGTGGTTCGATGATCGTGTTTTCCACCCGGACGCATTTCAGAGACGCACGTGTTTACAATGGCAACATGTCGGGCAGAGAACGAGTCAGTGGATGAATCCACTGATCCCGGAGCTGCTCCTCATGGAAACTTCATCAACTATTACACCTTCAACCCTCCGGAGAACAGACTGGGTCTGATTCCGGCTTCACTCCTGCAGGACTTAGGTCTCAGCTGCGGGACAACACTGCTGCTGGACGTGGGCTGTAACTCAGGGGTAAGAGAAAGTTCACTGGGTTTACAACGTGCAATAACACAAATACAACAAATACAATTAAATACATAAAGAGCACTTCTTCTCGTGTTTGCACACTGTTGTCTTTTCATTCTCACTTTCCTGTGATTCACATGTTAACCCTCTATAACACACTGTGTTTCCTTTAGGAATTCTAATATCTGGAATAAAATGTGAGATCATATAAATTTGAACGTTATCCTTCAAGATTTGAAAAGGCAGATTAAAACTGTAGGTGTTGAGTTTGCTTTTAGAAAATATATTTATACTCATGATCATTGAGAGGTGGCATCATTTACAATGAATTACAGAGACAGTAAAAGAGGAGGAAAAAAACAAGAGCAAACAAACTATTTCACAATTTGACTAAATGAAAGACATTTTAAAACATCTGGCAAGAATGATTAGAGAAATCAAGATGATCAAAATGTAAAGTGAAAACATGAAAAACATAAAAAATACAGCTCTGTGACACATCACATTTAAAATATCTATGCCCAAAATTGTAAAAATAAAAATACAGATATATATAAAACATTTGCAGGTGGAAGATGGAAGGATTGAGATAACATTTTTAAAATCTTCAAATGTTAGAACTGCACTAAATTCAAGGATGTGCTGTATTTTGTTCCCCGAGACAGTTTCAATAGCAGCACACCTCACAATGAGTACAAACAAGTTCATGTGTCAAATTGTTGGATTGCTCCTTTAAATTAAGATGGCATTAACAGCTGTCCACTCTGTTTCCCTGTGTGAATGACAGGACCTGAGCGTGGCCTTCTATAAACATGTGGTGCAGCCGCCCGTGTGTGGAGAAGAGTCTGAGGGGAGAGAAGTTCATCTCCTGGGCTTCGACCTGGACGAGGCTCTGATTCAGCGAGCAGAGGACGCCAACCCTCTGCCCAGCAGCATCTCCTTCATCCCTCTGGACATCACCACAGACATGGAGCAGCTGCAGAGTTACCTCAGTCGACACGGCTGCTCCCACTTCCACCTGAGTCTGTGCCTGGCTGTCACCATGTGGGTCCATTTAAACCACGGAGACTCCGGCCTGCTGCAGCTCCTCTCTCGCTTGGCCTCCATCAGCCAGCACCTCCTGCTGGAGGCCCAGCCCTGGAAGTGCTACCGCTCTGCCGCCCGGCGCCTGAGGAAGCTGGGCCGCTCGGACTTTGACAACTTCAAGACCCTGAAGATTCACGGGGACATAGCTAAACATGTCAGGGAGCACCTGGAGAGACACTGCGGCATGGAGCTCATCCAGAGCTTCGGCAGCACCGTGTGGGACAGAAAACTGCTGCTGTTCAGACGGACAGGAAGCTGAGGGAGAGAATCAGGTTTTCATTGGCTGCTCAGGAGCTGCAGGGAGACGATAAGAAAACAAAACCAAAGAGACAAATGTGGGAAATGTGAGAAAACAGTCTTAATTAATAGACTGAAATTTCTGAGCATCAGTTTATCATAGAATAACTTCACTGTTTCCAGCTTCAGAAACATGGAGATTTGTATTCATCTTTGTTTTCTTGGAAAAGATCTTTTGGAAAAAATAAACAAACTGAAAACATCACCTTGGGCTCTGGTGATTCAAATTTTTTTTGCTATCAATTTGCATTTTATAGACCCAAGTGTTAATCTATCAACTGAGAAATTTGGCACATTGATCTACTGCGAAAATCAGCACGTTTCGAGCAAGCAGCGCA